ATATGTACAGTGTCTATATATAATATATATGTAAATATTTGTATATCTGGTATTCCGCTTTTGCTCAAACCGGTTCACACCGCTCTCCGCCAAGAGATCGATTAAAAATAGATCCACAAGCATTGAACGTCCATAGATGCCATAGAAAAAGTAATGCTAGTAGCTTCTAAAATATTTCAAAATTGCAACGAATAGTTTCATAAGTAGTTAATTAATCAGTCTGATTAGATCTGCCAATTCTTATCAATCCATCAATCAACTGATCGTCTGCACAAGCCGCTGCTTGTCTCTATATATCTAATCGCGCGTATGTATCACGAATCTAAAAATTAACTGTGTAAATAAAACAGCTATTGGAAAGTACCCGAGTCTTATGAATGCCTTCGTGTGCTAATAGATCCGTGAGTAATTTTACAGGGAAAATAAAACTTAACAACAAACTACGCAAACAATTGATACCCTTTACCATTCATATTGAGCAATCTCTGTAAGCTTCGTGACGCACCTGATTTAAAATAATTTGTAGTCAAGCGTTGATAGCGGTAAAAACAAAACAAACCAAAACCTTTGATTGTGACTAAGAGACAGGCATCATTTATCTATGCCGGCTATGAAACATTCTTCGCAGTCATGCTTAGAGATATCAGAACTTGGCCTTGTAATTTATGCGCCACTGAGCAGAGCAGTTCAAAGAACTCTCGTTAAATTTGCTTTTGGATAAGTAAGATATGTACTACCTACAGACATACATGCAGACATATAACATATCTTTCTGCGTAGCTCCAGTTCTCTAGAAATGTAATCTAAACTGGTTTGAATTTAATTTATAATATGTAAGACACATCATGTGTGGCACATGTTCAAAAAAATGGCATTTCAAGCTTATTCCTTAACACGCAGACGTGAAAAGGTGATCAACATTTTACTTTGAAATGATCGTTAACAGATAATATATCATTTGCGTCATATTAGCATGTGCTCTTAAATGATTTATAGCCGTGAGATTCAATAATTATCATAGATATTAATGAAGCAAATCAAGCGATTGCCAGATAGATTATACATATATAGTTATATATGAGATCGTTAAATAATGAAAACATTCATAGTATATGAAATTGTTCTCAATTTTCTACAGTTCGTTTAAAATAATTAAGAAATAACATACAAATTGGGTCATATACAAGGAGTTAGATGACCAAAAATCTTTAGACATAATGAAGATATTTTAAAAGACGCAGTTTGGATTTGCAGTTCTATGTTTCTAATGGTCTTCTATATATATATTATGATATAATTACTTCTTCCAAATACGCTCTATTGAAATTTCAATAAAAATACTAAGCAATATGTTGAGTCACTAATCGAATACGTAAATTTGATAAGGAATCACACTCTCTATCATATTTCGGAATTCAACGAATTTGATTAGCATTATTTTTTTTGTATTATTCAAATAGTTGAAAATAGCCAGAAATATTCTCAGACTCATTTCCTGATGTGTCTAGCAGCTTCGATCGATCTTAGTTTAGTTTCTATTCAAGTTTTATCTGTCAGAGTTCAGCTCAGTTCTAAAATTATGATCGCTAATCACAACTTTTGGTCATGCTAAAAAAATAAAAATAGTTAATGAATATAGCATATAATTAGCAAAGACATTTTGCCGTTGGAATTTGAACCCGACTTTGGAAAAATTCCATACATCTACAAATATATATGTATGTATTCAAAATGCCTATCGAATAAACTGGAAAATGCCAACAAAGACCCTTTCAGGCATTGCAATAACTTCGAGCGAGAATCCGATGTATGCACATTTAATTAACAGGCCCAAAAATTCGCTGAAATCATTATTGAACTTTCCACATTAACGTGAATGTCTCAACTAAAAGACTTGAACAAATATTAAAAGAATATCCATAAATATCTCCGCATGTCTATATTTATGTATCTGTATCTGAGTTTGTGGCTGTATTTACATTTGGTGGACTGGCATGATCAATAAGCGTGTCGCGGCATCTTTTCATGAATCACAGTGGGGCCCAGACTCAGCTCACCACCTCCGCTTAAGTGCTAATAATGGGAGAAAGACCTGCGTGGCTTTATCAACATGATTTGCTCATGGCCAACTTTGCTTTTTTTGTTCCCATTTCGTTTTTGCTATTATCTGCTTTACACACTTGTCACACGGTCTGGCTTGTAAATAAAACGGAAAAGTACACAGCCGCACAATAAGCCGGGCAAACACTAATGGATATAATAACTACAAAAATACATACATATATATATATAAAAGTACTTTTTTATATGTATTTAGGCATGTGACAAAGCTGCGACTCGTCAGCTGGCTGAAACAGTTAAGCGAGCATCTAAAATTATTGTCAACATGTGCCGCTTGTTAGCCTAATGACTGCACGCTTTCTACATCTTCAAGCGGAGTACAGTTTGCACAAAAGTTGAATATGGCGATAGTCCGATTCCGATGTGCCATAAACCATTCAGTTGAAAGTACTATATACGAAGTGAAAAGGAAACATTAAAAAACTTCTATTTCATTGTCACTTACGCCTCTTTATCGAAGCACAAAGACGTGCACTGAGTAGGCAGGAAATAGGTACAGTCTGCGCAAAACGCTGCATACTTAACGAACTTTTATGGATTTTAAGCATGTACTTCGAATACAGGCAATTACTTTCGAGACTTGACTTCTATTCACATATTCGCCTTGAACTAAATTCGCGGATTTTAATACAAGCCCCGTTATCTATCAGACATCGACTGCCAACAATTTCTATTTGTTTATTTAAATTTAGACAGCAATTTGAAAGAGCCATAGCCTTAGATACGATATTGTGTACACAAATAAGTGTGCGACACCGGGAAATACTCTAAAGCCATTCGATTTGCGGCTCATTAATTTTGGTAGCAACTCAAGTAAGCGCCAGGCATTGCTGCCGGCCTCTAATTTATTTATAAAGGTAAATGCCGGCATTTAAATTCCGTCAACGGCATAACAAGCGCCCCCTGCCGGTTACGTTACTGTGCTGCCCCTAGTGCTGCAAAAATATCGGATCGGAATCGTTATAATCGATATTTTCGAATTTTGGCAAAAGATCGATATGGTTTTCTTAGTATCGATATATCGAAAAATGGTTATTCTTGGCGTTGGTTTTAACTGTGTAAGAAGCGCATTTATTTAATTTTGCTAAATTGTATACAAATTGATTGATTTAATTTAATTGCAATAGAAAGAAAAAAAATTGATCAGTTTTTGGGAAGAAAACGTAAGTACAATTGATATATCCTATTGGAAAAGCTTGGAATCATAGCTTGTGTGTTTTAGGCGCGGCGAGGGTGGACTCCGATGAAGAAAATAAGACCGTGGGAGCCCCAAAAAANAGCTTTAATGAATTGCTGTTTTAGGTTTAAGTTAATGAAAAATAATTTGTTATACGACTTTGTTCGGTTGAATAAATTTGTTTTTGTTTGATGCTGTTGCTTTTATTTTAATCTTGAAATGGTTGCCATTTTATCCATTAAGAAGTCATAATTAATATAAATATTATAATAGATTCTAAGCAAGAAAATTAACATTTAAAAGAAGTGTTCGATATATCGTTTTTATCGATCTTTTTCTCTGAAAATATCGTGAATATCGATATTACGGAATATCGATTCTTTTGCAGCACTAGCTGCCCCGCTTACCAGGCAACACTGTTTGCTGTTCGATGCGTGCTACCCCGAGCCAGAGGCCAGACAGTTAAAGAGAGCGAGTGAGAGTTGTTGTGGGTGTAAATAGCATAACAATGAAACAGAGAGGAGAGAGAGAATGAGGAATGCCTGGAGTACAGTGTGCTAAGTGACCGGCGCAGGCAGCAAAGAATGCATGCGTCTGTTATGGCGGCCACTCTTCGAAATTTGCAACAAGCAGCTGCTTTAGTATAAGAGTGAGACGCTGCTCATAACATATGCAGTTGCCATGCAGTGCTCTGGCCTGGGCATATTCTCATGCTTTGCAGTCGGCACTGAAACATATTATAAAACATAGATGATGTTGTTGTTATTTTGTTTTTGTTTTGATTTTGGCAGCTGTTGCGCGCTGTACCCTGTACAATGTACACTGCACATCGTACACTGAGCAATGTGTTCACTGTGCACGGCTGTCAAGAGTCGAGTTCAATGCAAGTGAAACAAGTTTGTTGCTTAAGGAGCGGCGTTGGACTGAGGCCTCAAACGAATGTGTTGCAAAACAAAACAATGCACTTGAAAAGCTGCAGCACTACTTAAAATTAATTACTCTTGATAAACACAATCGTTTGCAAACAGTTTAACTGCTTTCAGATATACATTGATGTGTGTGTGTGTGACTTACTCGTACATAGCATCGACCAGATCGCGCTCCCAGGTCATCAGACGCTTCATGTTGTCCGAAAGGAAATGCGTGCAAAATATTAAGATGCTTTAAATTCAATGCACACGCGTGCGTTATACAACASAAATCGTTGCTAAGTCTTTGTGTGTGTGTGAGTTTGAGTTTTGTATATATTTTAGTTTTGTGTCTTTTTTGCGCTATTTTTTGTTGTTTTGTGTGTTTTGTTTTGAGGTCGGCGAAAACGAGGCGACAACACGCGGCGTCGCTGACGCGGCTGCGACTAAAATGTAACGGACGGGCAGCAGCAGCAGTAGCGGCAGCAGCGGCAACAGCAGCAGCGTGGCGACAGCAAACAAACAGAAAGAGGAATATGTTCGTATGTAAACGTATAGTTGTATAAGTATACAAGCGTGCGTATATGTGTGTGTGACGAGTGACAGCTCCTCCTCGGTCGAACGGCTAGCAAAAATAAAAAGCTCTCCGCGCTCCTGTTACAACCTTGACGACAGCCGCAGCAGCAGCAAATGTATTACAATTATTATAATTGATATTCGTATTTTGAAACAAAAAGATTCGAGCACTTTTTTTATTATTATTTTTGTGTGGTTGTTTTTTTTTTTTTTTTTTTAATAATACTGGTAAGCGACGGATGACGTTATCACTGAATCTGGATACTGTGGGCTCTGGACTACGATGTATTAATATTGCCAGCTTTGTGATGCTTTTGTTGTTATTATTATTCGGTTGATGTTGATGTTGTTGTTGTTATTGCTTGGCAACTCTCTGAAAAGCACACACACAAATCGAATTCTACTCTTTTCGCTCTTTCAAAAATGCGTTCTTTTTGTGGTTGGAAAGGCGAATATGGTTTTTATTTTGAAATAAACAAAGGCGCGCATTATTCACACAGCGTCTGCTCCGGCCGACAGAGCGTAACAATTTACTTTTGAATTGAAGCGGGCGAAACGAAGTGTATTTGTAGTTTAAGCGGTAACGGTTATTGTTATTTTGTATTCAGTTTACAGTTCATCCGTTTGTAATTATTTAAGCGGCGTCTCATTTACAACTGACGTTGCATGTAAAATGCTTTAAATAACTTAACAGCAGCGACGCCGTCGCCGTTGATCGTGCAACGAACTGAGAGCGAGAGAGCACACGGCCGCGTAGAAGAGATGCTGTTGCTGAGCAACAGAGAGAGTAAGACAGAGAGCGCGCTTGAGTGAGCGAATGCGCACGCAAACAGAGCAGCGTTGTCGGCGTCGTCTTTGACGCTGAATTATAGCGCAGGTGTATTACTTTCTGCGAGGACGGCTGAAGTCGAACTGAAACGCTCAGTTGACAGCGTTGTTGCTTTTTATTTCAACTCACAGTATCAAGTGGAGGAACCGATAGCAGCAGACGCCGCGTCGCTGCCGATAGCAAGACCAGCCACTGTACAAACACAAGCAAACACTAAGAGCAGCAGCAGCAAAAACAACAATAGTAGGAAGACGCAAAACCAAAATGAAATACAGCTGATAACAAATCTTTTTTTTTTTTTTTCGCTTGTTAGTATAGGCTTCACAAATAGCAACAGCAACAGCAACAACAACAATAGCGAAATGAAAACACAAACACAAAGAAAAAGAAAAAAAAAAGTAAAACGCCGGCGCGTTGCGCCATGCCACAAGCGCAAGCAAATAAAATAACTGTAAATTTTCGGCGGCTTTGCGAAAAGATTTATATACACAGTGTTATTCTTGCCGATTAATGCACGACAATTAACGCGGCAGCACGCGACGCCGACTGCGACAGCGACGTCGACGACGGCATTGGCTGTGCCATAAAGCTGGCTTACGTCGCGTATACGTAATATGCAAGCATGTAAATATGCAAAGTGCATGAAAAATGTGAAAAGCTGCGACGACTGTTAACGGTCGCAGTTGCAATAATTCGCATTGTTATTGTTATTGTTGATGTTATTGCTGCTGTTGTTGTTTTTATTGCAACACGCGCTTAAGCCATCGCAATTAACTGCAATATTTAGTCAGCTGTGTGGGCGTGGCAGGCGGGCGGAACGCTGTTCAACATTAACGCCAATTAGGAGTTGTGCCAGCATTCAACTTTATTTAATTAAATGCAATCTGCACTCAGCGACACTCGACTTTTGGAAATCCTATACACGTATGTATGTCTATCTGTCCAGAGATAAGAGTTTCAATACGTCAAAAGTTTGTTTGAAGATTTATATAGGTCTCTCATCATTTTTAATTTGCAGCTATCAGCAATGAAGGCAATACAGCAACAAAAATAGCAACGAGCAAATACAAAATGTGAAGAATAAATACTCTACCATGCATACAGTCAGCTGACCTTAGAGTATAGTACAAAGTTTTGTAATCACATGATATGCGCATCGATATCAACCGCTAGAACAGCTGATTACATAAATAAGGCCCATAGAATAGTTTAAATAAGTGCGCTTTACAGCACTCTATGTTAGATTAACATTTAGTTAACATCAGCTTACAATGTTAATGAAATGAATGCTAACATATTGCAGATTACATAAATAAGGCCCATAGAATAGTTTAGTTTAAATAATTGCGCTTTACAGCACTCTATGTTAGATTAACATTTAGTTAACATCAGCTTACAATGTTAATGAAATGAATGCTAAAATATTGCAAATTTGCAAAAGATTCGAATATATTATATATATCAAACATTTTTATCTTGAATAAATTCTCAGAATTGTACAGCATTAAGCAAAATAAATAAGATATATTAGCAAAACATATATTTATATATATATGACTCAATGTCAACATTTTCAGCTGTACAGAATTTTCAGTTGAATTCTTTTTGCAGCTTCAATTCGCGGACGATAGAAATGTATGTGCGAAACAATGGATGAAAAACCTGTTTATCAACAAAAGCTAGTTAATAATTTACTCCAACATTTGGCGAGTAAGCACAGACAGAGAAATCAGCCCAGGGAATTGATAGAAATTTAGAAAATTAATCATACGACTCGTTTGTCGATATAGAAAGCAATCAATTGGGCCAAATACCAGACTGACCTATGCCGAAACAGAAAAATATAAAATGGGCATCATCCATTTGCTGTTGCTGTTCTTGATCATAAAAGCGATTTGCTTAAGTTGTTGTCTATATATAGACCCAAAGCGATTTGCATTCGCCTAATCGAAACTCTCGTCTGCTGTCCCAACAACAGCTGAGGAAATCCCCCTGGCAAATTGCCAATTGAGACGAACGATTTGTTGAACACGTTTGTTAATTGGCCGAACTCAGCTCTCGTGCGAGCAAATAATAAAAATTAATTAATTGATTATGCGCATTACAATTCTCGTTCTCTTAATTGAACTGCGCCAAAAAATTCACACTTTTACACAGCACTCATACCAAGCCCAGCCACAGGTAACTAGTTACCTGTGCTAAGCTCTCATCTCATCTCAGCTGAAATATTGACAACACAAGCAAAAACGAAAGCAAGCCGTTGCCTCTGAGTAATGTCAGGGGCATCTTTCTACATTTGCACAGCAGGCACTGTAGAGCCCGGCACTCGGCACTTGGCACTCAGTATTCGGGCTCTATTCTATGCCACATCTAACCCCAATTACTTATATGCTCAGGCAGTAGGCGGAAATCATATTTAATTGTCCACCCACCGACAGCCTTAAATCAAAATAATTTAATTTTGTCATTCATCCAATCAACGGAAAGTTTATCTCATTTTGTTTTCTTTTTGCGCTCTTGTGTCACTTGGCATTGCTAAACAAAGGGGGAGCGTATGGGAGGGGGGTCCAAAGAGAGAGGGAACGAGACTTGAGGCCCCCGTTTACTTTATCGCACACATTTTATCGTCTATATGCATATCGTATTTGTAGCTCATGCGTAATTTGTGTATCCAAGCTGATCAAATGTCCTATCAATAAGCCAAGTCAACAGGTGTGTGATGTGTGTATCTGTATATGTGTATGTGTACACTCCTGTGAAATGCCTTACGAATGACATAAGTTCGATATCTAGTATATTGTCAAGCGAGATTTCTCGCAGATCTTTGGCAAAGAGCCCTGTCCTAATTGCGTGCGCACATGACGTATGCGCAATATTTGCAGAAATCATAAATACTGCACAGCCATGGCATACCCTGTATTTGGTAGACAATTGAACCGCTTGATCAGAAAAGTATGCTATATTAATGCAACATTATCAAGTGCAATATCAACAATTTCTCACAATACTTAATTAACATTGTATTTGTTTTTTATTCGATATTTAATCACATTAATTTTACTTTTGCGCAGTTGTCTGGATTTTGAGGTTCTTGTAAAAGTAAACAATAAATTGTAATACCGGTTTTTGTATGACTCGGCTTAAAGCCGGCTTGAGTTCTTGTTCCAGCGTCTGTAGGGCAGCTAATTTTAGTTGTTATTTCATAAACTTATATTTGGAACTCATTTAAATATTGAATTCATATTCAAATATGACAGACTCGAAACAACATAATACAATAAAGTTTAAGAGTGTGAACCAAATATATATATATGTTACTAGGCTATATTTAAAAATGAAATACCTCAGTGTTTACTTTAGTTAATTGGACTTTAAGTGTGCTCAAAGTGAGCATCTCATAACTGTGTTTAATTATAGGTCTATATATTATTTCGCATATGTATGTTTTTGCATATATAGATATGTATGTATGCATATATCTGAATATAGATTTGCTCACTCACCTATTTAGTGCTCCTGGCGACTCGCTGACTGCCTTGATTGATCGCCTGATTTGCTTGTGAAATGAGCCGAGGAACGACTCCTTGCGAGAGAGCAGAGTTCCGCTACCGCTCGACTCGCCGCCGGCGCTGTTGATGCCCGACCCATAGGTGGCGCTGCGATTGTAAGCCTGCTCGATGTTGGCACTGGAGTCGGCAACGGGATCTGCGCTGGCGCTCGCTGGCAGCGCATTAATGCTGAGCTGCTCCACATGGAGTGCGGCTGTCTGCTTGCCATCCTTAATGTTGCTGGACTTGATGAGGACAGGTGCCTTGCTGTTGTCCTCGCTGAGCAGCTTCGTCCAAGCACTTTCGCCGGCTACCTCCGTCTTATCCATAATCATTCTATTTGGCATTGACTACTTACGTCTAGCGGTTAGTATATCTGTATGTATATGTTAGGATCCTGCTCTATTTTGGTCGCTTGCTTTGGTGAGTGCTGCTGGTTAGGTGTGTGCGGGAGTCGGTGTGTGTGTGGTATTCGTTATAACGGGAAACTGTGCGCGTGGCTGGGCACACTGTTCGTCTTCACATTGAGCATTTGGGAGTGGAACATCGAGACGCTTTTGCTGAGTTCTGCAAAGCAAATGAAACCAGTTGATGAATTTCAGTATGTTGATTGCTTTCGATTTTAATTTTCATTTGGTCACGATTAACTTCATAAGCAGACGAACTTGTTGCATTTAACATTTCACATCAAATTAAATTTTTTATATTTTCATGAGGTTGTTAATTTTATAATTAGCCCTGTTTTTTTTTTTTATCGCTTTTCGAGCTGGTTCTGTTTTTCGTTCCTCATTTTTATTCTTTATCCACCCTAAGCTAAATTAAATTTTATATGAGCTAAAATCCTGTCAAAGAACTCAAAACAAAACTATCAAAATGTCAGAGAATAAATATAACTTAATGTAGCTCATATGTAAATTGTTTACATGATTTTGCTGATTTGATTAATTTCATGCTGCTCACAGCTGCTGCCCATATACAAATATACCCATATACATTATGAATTGATGCCAATTTTTCAAAACACTTTCGGGTGAGTTTTCACCAAAATATTTGAATTTTGTTTATATTGAACGATACCGGGTTTGTTACTGTTGTTTTTAATAATATTTATAAATATTAAATTTGTATATTGCATTAATTGATATTTGCATTTTTTTGGTAAATATCGTGAACTACATAAGGCAAATAGGTTTATATATATTTTTTATTTCACGCTCGCTTACTTTTTTCAGCTCGTTATAGAGAGAAATAAAACAACTTTTGTATAACAAACGATTTCACTTCGAAACGTGCGAAAATCACAAAACAATTTGAGTGCTTAATTATGCTGCCGTTGCTGTGCTTTAATTAAATAATTCGTATAATTTCTAT